ACTAAAAATATGAAAAAAAGTTGAGAATAATAGTTTATTTTTTATTTATTTTTTTGTTATATGTTGATTATAGTAAAGTGATATAGGGTAGAAAACATATAATATTTAAATATGGTACGCAAACCGGACTCGTAGTTCCAGAAATAAAGGCATACAAACAAAATATATGCTTGTAGATAAAATACAATTTTCTAACAATATTTTCCAATACATAAACCCTATATATAAACCAACCAAATCATCAATTTACGAGCTCTCCCACAAACTCACAGCACATTATTAGCTGTGTATTAACCGAGGCAGATACTGAAAGGTTTGGAGTTACCCGTTAAATCCCCCAGTTGTAATGCAAATGATATCAGACTGTATGTAGAGCTTGAATACGTTTGCGATTAATGACTTTAAACGTTCGTCATCAGTCAGTGTTTGAGATGAGATAGAACAAAAATCCACTGATGTGGACCAAATTTTTTGCCGATTTGTCTTATTTAGCAAGAGCAAAATATCAATTAATTGATATTGTACTCGCTTGGAAAGCCAAGTGAAGTGGGTTTGATCCCTGGGCTATGTACATTAGAGGTTTCACGTGAATATTATTTTCGACATAATTTATATTAATTAGACAAGTATTATAAATTTACATTTTACGAATTTCTATTCCTTATAAACCTGCTAACGTTTTTAAACCATAAAACTTCAGGTTTTAATTCTTTTTTCTCTTAAAAAAAACGAATTCCGATTGGTCTAAATGTGAAAGTGTATAGTGTTTGTTTATTACGCCTTTATGTCAAAACGGCTGGACGGTTTAAGATGACATTTAGTGTACATACAGACTATGATACAGAGCAACACATAGGCTACTATTAGGCATCGAGACGTACTCAAAGGAAGTGAGGTTAATAAACACGTCTTTCAAGTAAAAAAAGCTTCAAAAGTAGTAAATATTTTTAAATTGTACAAATATAGTAACCCTAAATGGAAATTATATTTTTTTAAACCTTAAGGGTAATAATAATGGTAACACAAATAAAATAATTCTAATTTGTATAGCTATAACAGCTCCAATTATTTCTTTTAAAATTTTAACTTTAATGCCAATTTTATTGACATATTGAAAAGCCGAGCAGATTTCAATGAAGACCAATAATCTTTCAAGTACATTAAAATTAATACGTGCAAAATCTGAGATATATGTATTATATCAGATAAGCACATATAATAAAATTCTAACTGAGTCGAATCTGTATATATTTTTTGGAAAATCATATTGAAATAGTCATTATTATCGATACAGAGGCCGAATCTTTAATTTTAGTATGTTTGTCTGACACTCTGTCTGGGCATGCATCACGAGAAAATACACAGATTTTTATGAAATTTGATATTATAATAGCTGGTTATCTGGGTCAACATATAGGATACATTTTACTACGGGAAAATATCTTATCTCTGAGAAATCTATACTAAACGCTAAAACGTAACTAGGGACGAACTCGAGCGGAACGAGGCTGAGTCGCTAGTTTATATTAAAATAAGAATCTTTGAAGTGTTAAATCGGTTGCTATGCGTAGATTTCTTCTTACACGATCTTTTCGCATATGTATCAGAACATCTCACGTAGCACCCATTCGTGCGTATAGGGATGATACAATTTAGCTTGAAATCGTAGTTTTTGTAGTATTATTCCTTAGTAACGCATTTCTATCGTTATTTATTATTTTTATCTTATTTCGGATGAGATTAACTTGTTCTACTACCTTTTATCTTTTAAACGAATCTATTGAAAGAAAAATTTGTTAAAGAAAAAGTGGAAAAAATATTTTTTTAAGATAAACTCTAAAGTTTATATTGAATACTGTTTTTAAAGCCATGTCTTTCTTGTAAAGTCCATCCTTTTGTCTTTAAAGTAGATTTTTTCCTTACACGTTCTTTTTGAGTACCTTTTTTTCTCTTTTATTAAAAATATGAATAAAACAACATTATGTATTATTTAGAAATAATCCAGTTATCGTATCAATGTTGTTTGTTCGTCCACAGAATAAATATTCAGAAACCGTATCTTCAGTTTTATGTCCACATTCAAAGTTCCCTTGCAGGGTTTTACGACGGTGTATATTTATCTCCACTAAATTTATTGCGCCAATAACTCGACATGTCGATACGATTCTTCCTCCTTATCTTTGAGGCCATATGTTCTAGGTTTAAGACATGTAAGTACTAAATTAACTAAATTACAATGTTTGATGAATCTAAAGAAAATTGGTGACTACTATATTCCACATTTTCTAAAGATTGTTTAACTTATAGTTGACTAATTGTTATAATAATTTTTAAATTTTATAATTAATTTTTAAGTTTTATAATTAATATATATGTTAGTTTTAAGGTAAATACTATGCTATGGGCCTCTGTTTACATATTTAAAATCCTTTTGTTAATATTGCCTGAAATAAATGATTAAATAAATTAAAAAAAATATCCATATTCTTAATATTATTAATGTGAGTATGATTGTCTGTTTGTCCTTCTTTCACGTCGAAACAGAGTGACGGATTGGCGTGATTTTTTTGTGTGGAGATAGTTGGAGGTCTGGAGAGTGACATAACCTACTTTTTACTACGTGAGATTATGTCATTCCCACGGAAAAACACGTTACAATACAATCCACAACAACTCATCTTGTATAATGTATATAAAATATAGTCTATCATCCCATAATAACCGCTAAAAGTTAAAAAGTTATTTATAATAATTTCAGGATATTTTGATAATACAGCCAATATTCAGTTTAGTTTAGTTTTCTCGTGATGCGTTCCCAGACAGATAGACAGACAGACAAAAAATCTAAAAACTATAGATTCGGTCTCAGAATTGTTAATAATGACTATTTCAATAAGAATTTCCAAACCATATTTAATATAAGCAGATTCGACTCAGAATTTTATTATATGTATAGATTTATTTATCTTATATTTTTTTTAAAAAGTTCCAAAGTTTTTACTTTTGTTTTTTTTTATATTTATTCAAGTTTTTAGTTAAAAAAGTAAGAAAATTGTACTTTAGGCCAAAAACTCCGAGCAAAGCTTGGTAGCCCAGATACTACTTGTTAAAAACACTATAAGCAGCGACTGAATATTTTCTCTTCAGAATCAAACAAGTCAGGCAACTATTCAATAAAAGCTACATAGCATTTTCAAATTCCCATCTTATATATATATAAGAATAGCCAAACTTTCAAGAAAATTTTCCCAGATATATCACGGCAACAGCAAAATACTTATGTCACCAAACATAAACCGTTTATCGTTAAACATTCTCCAGAATTGAAGTCGAAATTTAAAAATTGCAAGTTTTAACTTCAATATTCTTGCCAGCAACGCTTAGTCATCTTTCATGGTATATTCGATGATAAATAGTGCATATATTTACCGTTACAAGGTGCCAACCGAGTGTGAATAATACATAGGTAGATGTGACCCAGATAATGTGCAATCTAATGCTTAAAACATGTTTTATGTTGTACATTTTTCAATATTTTTTGTATATTATAATTAACTAGCAAGTCACCCTTGCCCCGCTCGTGTTCGCCCATAGGTACGTTTTGACGCTTAGTATGGAATAGATAGACTAAATATACGTACGAGCAGGTATATATAAAAAAAAGGAGGTAAGTACCTCCTATAAAAAATTAAAAAAATTATATCCATTACCTGAGAAATGATTGATTCCCCATACAAACATCCACACCCCTTTTCACTTCATCCCTTCGTAATTTAAATATCGAGCACAACTATCTCTATAATTTTATTTTTAAATAACCGTAAAACATACTGTCGTTTTAATATTAATAATTAATTTTTGAATAAAAAAAGCAGGTACACCGACTTCAATTCTTTTCTTATTCTATTCTTCTATTTAAAATAATGTATTATTATTTTAATTTATTTTTTTGAAATTTATAAGGCATGAGCCTTCTCTCAGTGCAACGGGGATCAGGCCACTGCACTACACTGCGGCGAACTCCTCATGTCTTTCGAAAAACTAACATAGGTTTCCTCAAATATGTAGGTTTCCTCGCGATATTTTTATTTACCTCAATTAATGTTTATTTAACTATTTATGAAAATCCGTTTAAAATATATAATAAATACTTAAAAAATAAGAAATCGAATCGAATACTTTCTCCTTTTTTTAGTCGGTCAAAAATAATGATAAAACTTACTCAAATGGACTGAAGAAGAGTATTCAATCTATTATTATACATATTCATATGGATGTAAAAAGCAGAAATATTAATGTACATGTGTGACTTTACTCAGATTATTTATGTTATCTTATATTTCCTAGCTATCTTTGAGTACTATCTATAAAAAGCAAATATTTTTTTTTTCATTTGCAAAATGAAATCTTAAATAAAACATCAAATAAATATTTTAAGCGTTCATTTGGCTTGACTCGATCCCCTCTTGACAGTTTTATGTTATTTCAAATTGTACATTTACGTTTTGAGGTCGCAACGCGGAAACAAGACCTACATGCGATGGATTTCGAAAGCAATTTGACATGAAAGTGGGTCACAACATGATGGCTGACTGTTTCAGAAATGCTGGCAAAGAGCTGAACGTTCTTTTGAAGCCCAAAATGTTTTTAAAATATTTAACTCGTATAACATGTCCTAACGTCCGCTTTAATTATCCTATTTTCAGGCAGCATTCGCTGAAAATTAAATATAGTATTTTTTTTTTTTTTAAGTCATTATTTAGTCAATTATATTTCAGTAACTTTAATTCCACTTTGGCTTATAAGCTCACAAGTAACTTAACTATCCATCCAAAATTAATTTAGCTAACAGCAATAATAACTTAATTCAATGGGTTAAGCATTTCCATTTTGTTACAGATAAATCGGTAAATGTTTTGGTGTAGAAGATCCAAATCACAAGATGATCGACTTATAGCACCACCTGATATCTTACGTCCACGGACGGTGTAAGCGGAAAAATGTTAATACTTATAATAGTTCATTTCATCACTCTACCTGCACTGACATCCAAAACAGTCAGAGGAGAATCTACAATGGAAGATAAGAATTTACCTGTGATAAGTTCACGTGTAGTTCGGACTAAATATGGTGACATACGAGGTTTTATAATAACTCCTGAGTCAAGGTTTCTTGAACCAGTCGAAGTGTTTAGAGGAGTACCCTATGCATCGCCTCCTATAGGTTCCCTAAGGTTTATGCCTCCAGTCTCGGGAGCTCAGTGGTCTGGTGTCAAAATTGCTGAAGAATTCAGTCCAGTCTGTCCACAAGTCCTTCCAGATATAAGAAATGAAACAGCAGTCCTAAAAAGAATTTCCAAAGGAAGACTTGAATATTTGAAGAGAATATTACCATTTTTGACTAATCAGTCTGAAGATTGCCTGTATTTGAATATCTACGCTCCAGCTCAAGGTAACTCTATATTAATTAATTTTTCTACATTATATAAAATATAAGAACGGTTATTCTTAAATATTTCAGAGCATTCTTTGAATCTAAGCAATTGCGCTTAAATTTCATCGTTTTTAATTATAATTTTAAATTAGATTTCGAAAATAATATTAAAAATATTATAAAATATCAACATTTTAAGTATAATAGCATAGCTTTTGGATCTAATTTATAATTAAAAAGGTGAAGCGTAGAAAAATAATTCGAAAAGTAATTTTACCCTTAAGAGGAAATCGCATTTCAAGTGAATCGGAAACAGGTCGGGAATTTGGTTGAATTAAAAGCGAGCGGGTGTGTTTCACAATTCGTGGACACCTAATTAGGCAAACAAATAAAGATGCATTAGCGTTTTAATGAATTGAATCTTGCAATTTAGTTTTTACTTCGGTGTTCCAATTTAAATAAATTAAGAAAATACATAGGTACTAAAATAGAAGACTTTTGGTGTAATGTTGTGTGAAGTTAAAAAAAAGATAGTTTATGTTAATCAAATTGATGGAGGAACCAAAGTTTAATACTTTGTATTTAGGTTTTTTGTACTGAATATTTATGAGTTAAATATTTAAGTTTGAAAAGTTTTTAATACGTTTAAATACTTTACCAATTACCTTTAAATAGGTACTTTTAAGTTGGAAAAGTATTCAATACCTTGAAATACTCTTTCAACTAAATACAGGTAACAATTTGATAAAGCAAATAAAAATATTATGAATGTTGAATGTTATAAGAATTTAGAACATAGTAATTTTTTTTTATATTTATGCATTCTAATGAATGGTAATATATTTTTGATTCTTTAAATTGACATAACTTTCTTATTTATGTACTAATTTAAATAAAACAACTACTAAATGTTAAGTGAAGCCGTTTCTGAGATTAGCGCGCCAAACGTACAGACAAACGGACAAAAATTCTAAAAATCATTGTTTTCTATATTATTATTTTTTCTTTATTGAAAAATATTTTCTGATTTGTAATGCAAAAAATATAACACCGGTATCATCAGAAATATCTAATCTTTCAAACTTAACAGTTCAATAACAGAACGTGCAAATGAAAAAAATCTCCCACAATCAGTATCTAAAATCACGGGCAGTACATAGACTATCATTTTTCCATTCAACCCTTTCAACTTTTAATCCCCCAAATTCTAAGTATCGATCCTAAATGCAACAATGCTAAGCACCGTATCGTCATAAAGGCGAGCTAGCACCAAAAAAGACATCACGCTCTTCAATATTACGTTGAAACGAATACGTTCGGGCGTTGCTTGTTTTTTTGTAACTTTTTTCGATTGGCGCAAAAGATTGCTTTGTTCGATGACTCAGAGGAATACGTGAGATATTTTGTTAAAGTAAAATTTCAATGCGACATATTATGTAAAAAAATTGAGTATTATAATATTTTACATTGTCCTATTAGAACATAATTGTAAAAATATCTTCATTCTATATTTATTTAAAGAGAAACGATAGGAGTACAAGTACGATGGGATTTCTCTCCGGCTATATAAACAGAAGCCTAATACTAAACTTCTATATTTCACACTTTAAAAATGCAGTTATTCCATATAATGTCCTATTTAACTCCATACGGAACGAATATTTCAAAATTCTGTCAGTATCCATGGTTTTATAAAGGAAGTAATGATAAAAAAGTATGCTTCTTGAGCCAACGCCTAAAATTTTGTTGCAATATAATAGTAAATCAAAAGACGTAATAACAAAAACCATTATTATTTGTTTTTCCTTGATGCCGTCACAGACAGACTGACAAAAATTCTAAAAACTATAGATTCGGCCTCTGTATCTATAGTAATATTAAGTTTAAGTTTAAAGAATTTTATTCTCAAAAAGAGAAAGTCACTTAAAGTTAAAGTAAAAAATATGCAAATGGTCGCCACATAAGTAGGTACTCAGTTAAAGAGATAGGGTATATCCTAAGAATTATATTAATTAATAATAATAATTAATATTAATAATAATAACTATAGTTTCGGATGTATGTATATTAAACGTTATTAAATTGGTTATTTTCCAAAATATATTGTGGGAGCTGAGATTGAAATATAAATAATGACTAATAAAATAAGATTTCCAAAAAAAAATTAATGTACAGATTCGACTCAGAAACTTATTATAGTATAAATTAGCTTTTACATACAGCTACATTTCCATGTTATGTCAATAAAGAACATAATGTTCAAAATAAAACGTAGTATTTGTGAAACAATTTTAAAGTCTATTGAATATTTTCATAGGATATTGTATAAATATTTTTATATTTCCTTAAAATAATGTTACTCAATCTCATAATCTGGTAGCTTGAGAAATCTCAGCTCTTTAGTATACTTTTTAAACTATAAATAGGTTGAATTTATGTAAAACTCGAAAAGTTTCATAACTTCGGTAGAGAGTTGAAGTGTTTATAGCAAAATGTAGGCGCTGCTTTGTTTACGAATACTTTATATAACATGAATCTTAATTTTATGTATTATATTGTATGTACTCTGCCCTTTTTGACTTCCAAATGCTGGGCAAGGATCTCCTTTCAATACGAGGTGGCTCAGACCATAGCCCAAGAAGCTGGCCAAGTTTCGGTTGGCGACCTCGCATGTTTTTCGAAATCTTGCTAGATTTTCTCAGACATGTAGATTTTCTTACCATATTTGTTAGACAAGTGCTAATCATGTTTGAAAATGATTCACAAATGAAAATATCAGAACTGTGAGGCTCGGTACTCGAACCCGCCTCACTCGGTTTACTAGGTTTAAAATATAGTAGGTAACTTTTTAAGCTTTCATGCTGTCATCATCTACAAGAGCGTTGAAATTTCTATATTACTGCAGTAAACACCCACCCATCGTGTAGATATCGCGTTGGCAGGATGCTCAAAACGGAATTAAGTGTCAATATGTTCCACAGCTAACTTAAAAGGTAAACTAAAAAAGAATAAAAACTTTCGATATTACTAAAGAAAATGTCACTCGCTATAAGTTTTTGACTTAAAGTTTAAAGTAGAGGTAATTTTAGAAAGCTTTTAGGGGAAAAAATTGAAAAGCGTCTAGACAACTGACATGCTTTGTTTCAGATATACTTTAAAATCGATCAAAATGGGTCGGACTCTTGCTTCGACAGTTCCGTGATTTTTCTTAGTAATCCTTAAAAATAGGAAAATAACAAGGATTGAACGTGTCTTTGTGAAGAGTTTCATATAGTAGAAGTGTCACATTGTTGTTGTTTGTGTACATTAAATATTTTTTGGAAAATCTTATTGAAATAGACATTATTATCGATACAGAGGCCGTTCAGTGCCTTTTTCTGCTTATAGATGAGTTTTAGTGTTATCATTAAAAAATCAATAAAATTATTAATTTAAACCGAATTTCGACCATTGGGCGAATAATACTATAAAAGTTAAATGCGAAAATAAGCTTCATTATTAATCATAAAATATTCACAAACATTTTCTCCGCACAAGACTAGAATCATCCCATAACTGCTGTGAAGCTGAAAATATGAATATAATCTATCAAATAAAATACCAAATTCATGCCTAATTTCATAATGTAATACCTCGTTAGAGAGAATAAACGCTTGCGTGCATTAGTCACGTCGCAGCATAAATCCAAATAAATGAGTTCCACAAACAAAACAGAGCGGTAATTTATTCCGTCGGTTCGTATCCACCAATCAATTAGGTATTTACATATATTTTTGGTGACGTCACAATACAAAGTTATAAAGGATTCGAAGATTGAGATTTATTTCTATATAGGCTTTGTATTAGGCTATATAGGCTATATGCACATTTGTGCGCGCATTTTATGATAGTTGATCGTTTTTTATTATTTTTATATTATAACCATCGTGGTAGTCCAGTGCTAATCTAGTAGTAATTCACTTGCTTGAAAAACAGGGAAAATGAATCGGGTTCAAATCCCGGGTCTGATACCTCTGATATTTTCATGTGCAAATAATTTTTAACATGACTACCATGACTCAGCACTTGTCTTACGATGAAAGAAACAGTGGTTAGGAGATCTTCAACTAACAAGTTCTCTATAAATATTATGTGAAGTCCGCTAACCCACACTTGGGCAGCGTGGCCTATGGCCTACGGCTATGGCTGTGGCCTGATCCCCTTCATATTGAAGTAAGGCCCGTGCCGAACAACGTCCCTCGTTAAAAAAGGGTTTGAAATATCTTATTGTTTTACTTTAACGATTAGAGCTTAGATCAATAAAAATAAAAAGTCACTTGAATGAATATGCCATTTTTAAATTTAGTATTTAATATTCCATCATACATGGACTCTCGGGAATGTTAATAAAACCTAACTTACATTTTAAATAAAAATATTTTTTTGGATGTGTCACGATTTGATTTTACTTTTATATTCATGTTACGAATGCTTTACAATAAAGATAGTCACAGAAGACAAATAAATAGTTTTATTTGAAATGTCACATATTCACGAAAATCTAAGAAAATATTATGTGAAGCTTTCATTTGCCAACAACATTTTTAAATGATTTTAAATGTCACTTACTACTAACGACATCTTTAACAATACTCGGAATAAGTTCCGAGTACTATTGTCTCTTGATATCTTAAAACACCTCTTACGGTTATATATATAGAAAGGCAAAGATTTGATGATAAACTATCATTAAGTTCTATGATCACATTACATTGATCATCTTTTAACAAATATGTCACAAAATATAATAGTTAAGCTTCTGTCTTTAGACTATCTTACAGCGTTATGATAATGGCTTCTTATTAAATATAAGAATATCAAGGACTTAAAAGAATTAAATTTAATCACCCGAAATAAACCAAAGAAATGTTTCTAAAAAACCTGGAATAACAACTGTTCTATGTAATTCCCAGGGTCTCAAACTATCTTTTTACCAAATTTCATCTAAATCAGTCCACTCGTTTCGGAGCTTACTCGAT